CCTTTTTTCGAGAGAGTAATTTGAAGGTTTGTTTACTGGAACGTTGGAATTTTACTTGGAAACGTGAAATTTGATATAAGAAAATAGTGTTCGGTGATGAATAGATGATATTTTTATGGGCAAAAGAATTTTTTGAATTGGTATTAGAGTAGGGCCTAGAGTAGTAATCTCAAAATTCAGTTACATCTGTTATGGTTGGATCAGTGGAATTATACAACGGTAACGTCGCATTGGTATTCGTCGCAGTTGATTTTCCCGTACGGTTTGTATTATTTGGAAAAGAGACGACGTCTGGCACAAGCGTATATTGATGCGTGTGGACGAACCGAAACTGAGTTGATACGGAACGCGATTGTGGCCATCAATCTACTCTCTGCAAAATTGGGCGATAACAAATATTTTTATGGTGATAAGTGGGTTATTTTTTTGAAATTTTATGATATTCTTGTTATGTTTTTGTGGGGTTTTTGTTTGTTTTGATGTTGCTGCTTTATATTTATGTGGTTATGATTCGTGTTGTTGAAGGCCAAGTTCATTGGATGCGCTGATTTTCGGATATTTGGCTCCGATATTGAAGTTACCTCTGCCGTCAGATCGTCTGCAACAACACATTTTGGGGTGTCCGAATTTGGTACGATTCATCGAGTCTATTATTAGTATTTATTTGCCACTCACTGAAACGCAGATACGATTGCAGTCGCTTTCAAAGGTTCATTTTTATATTATTAATATTATTATGGAGGACATTGTTTTGAATGTGCTATTGTTATTATCATTATTGTGTTGTTATATTCATCAGTGATTTTGTCTTATTGTGATATTGTTATCTATTGTTATTGTTTTTATTATTGTTTTAATGAGTATGGGATTGTTGAAGGATAAATGGCAAATACGTCGTGCGAGGGCGCAAAAATCTGCGGAGCGAATGCATTTACGACGTGAAACTATCGATGAGCAGGCATCGGTATTAATTTTTTTGTTGTTGTGATTTATTATTGGGTCTGTATTTATTATTTTATGCATTATTCGTTCAGTTTTATTATAAAGTATGATTATGATCATTATTGTTGTTTGATGAAGTTATGTTGTGTTGCAGGCGCCGATTCGTGATACAGTTCTGTTTGCAGTGGGTGCACTCACCCTATCGCTGCTGTTCGCCGTTCATTTGGGTATAATTTCGGTGTCAATCGAAGAGGACATCCCACCGATTGATATTGAGTAGTTGATATTTTGTTGTGATGATTTAGTTTGATTAATTTGATTTAGATTTAGATTTTCTAATGAGTGTTATTGCAATTGTTTTGTGTGCGGTTACGAAGCATTACCAGTGCATTCATTTTTGTTCGTGTAAATTGTTTAGTTCATTAAAATTTCTCCATCGATAATATTCTACTGATTGTGAAATGAAGAAA